CTTAATATAAGTTCTTAGCCATGGGTGATTATAAGAGTCATTTAGAGTCTATTGAGAGTCATTAAGGTGCCTGCCTAATTCGCATTTAATTTCCTTTGATAACATGAATGAGCATAAAACAAAAGTTTAAGAACTAAAACTATGCAAAAAAACATTAGTTTAGGAATAGAAAAATGATCACAAAACAAAAGCTTAGGAACAAAAAAAAATGGCAGTTGTGCAGCTTTAATGGATAAAACTGATCGAAAGACAAAAAAATCATTTTTCATAGTTAATAGATGAAAAAATTATAAAAATAGTTCAGAGACTAAAATTGTTCAAAATTAAAACTTGGCAAAAATGTGATATAAGGACCCAAACTTGCACAAAATTTGCAATTAAGACCCAAACTTCAATTTTGCTCAATTAAGAGCCCAAACTACATGAAATTCTCAAATAAGGCCCCAATTGGGTGGAAGATGCTCTTGATGGATGGAATATTCTATTGCATGCAGATATCTTTGATGCCAGTTAACAATCAGTCACTCTCTTAGTCAGTTGATTGCCTGTGGAAAAAGTGTTGAGTTGTCATTGCCACGTGGATGCCACATAGATCCCACGTGGATGCCACATAGATGCCACATGTGGGTCCCAGTTTACTTTGAGGGAAATCAAGCTAAGGAGAATCCAAGTGGCACCACGTGGCAATGACACGTCAGAATGTTTTCCATGCTGGCAATCTGGTTGGCTGAATAGTTAATGGCATCCAAGACATTTAACGACAAGAATATCTATTATTATTGAATAGAGAGAGTATTTCTTTCAATTCAACATTGAGCAAATGTTGCAATTTTGCACTAGCCATCTTGTTGAATCTCTGTTTTTCCAGCATTTTGCTTTTCCTTTTCTTTCTTTTTTTTTTTTTTGTACCTCCTTAATATAAGTTCTTAGCCATGGGTGATTATAAGAGTCATTTAGAGTCTATTGAGAGTTTCAACCGTGTTAAAGAAAATTTTTTTGTAAAAGATCAAGTGAGAGTTTTTGTGAGAAACTAGGGGTTCATAAAAGAAATTGGGATTGAGTTTTTAATATTGTAAGCTTTCTCAATAATAGATTTTTCTTCCATCTCCATGTCTTTTCCCTCATTTTGAAGGGTTTTCCAAGTTAAATTAGGCTTTCCGCTTTTATATTATTTTACTTTGTTATTTAATCAATTTGCATAATTTTATAGTTATGTTATTAATCAATTGGTCTTGGTGATAGTTAAATTCCAGCAACAATATCAAAGCTACGAGATGGGGATTTATCGCTAACAAAAGATTCTAATGGCTTTATTCATCCATTTATTTC